CAGTCGTCTCTGGTAATGTAATGCAATCAGACAGGACCTACTGCACAATTTTTACCCAATCCAAATCAAATCCAATTCACTCGGATTTGTATTAGGCTAAACTATTGTCCAGTCGTCTCTGGTAATGTAATGCAATCAGACGGGACCTACTGCACAATTTTTACCCAGTCCAAATCAAATTTTAATTCTCTTGCATTTGCATTAGGTAAAACTATTGTGCAGTCGTCTCTGGTAATGTACAGTAATAATGCAATCAGACGGGACCTACTGCACAATTTTTACCCGGTCCAAATCAAATCCAATTCACTTGCATTTGCATTAGGTAAAACTATTGTGCAGTAATCTCTGGTAATTTAATGCAATCAGATCGGATGATCACTTATCTCAGAATGCAGTAGGCGTAAACTGTGGAGAGAACAGAATCTCTAAAATAGGGAGGTACCTTATGATACGAGAGTAGAGTGTGCGTACGAGTAGAAATAGAAAGGTTCTTTAGGTACATGATCCATTCTGTTATCCTTCTAATCTTCTATTAATGACTTCGATACGACATAAAAGTCTTCAGAATCCAATGGACATCTTCTAGTATAGTAGTCTATGACTATACGCGTAGAATGACTTGACCACTATTAATCCATGGTTTCTTTAGTGGTCTGATTCGTGTCCTCCCACTGTTGGCAGGTAGAAATTTGGACCCAATTGTACTCCATGAATATACAGAAATATCACAGCAAACTTTTCAATTTCGCCTAAATTTGACCAGTTAAGCATGCACGCATACAGTGAGCTATTGCAATGCATGATTTTCCTAGTAATCTACTGTCAACCTCTAGATGGATCTAGTCATTGGCCATTATAGCCATGATAGGATAGCATCGACCTAGAACTAGCAGTATTAATTCTTGTCATCGGTCGTTATATACGGATATGTGTGATTAATAATAATAATAAACTCAAAATTCGATCTAGAAGGACAATGTGTTTAATTTAGTGAAGGTATAAAGATTATCGTGATTCAACTACAACACCAAGTTTTACCAAGGTATATGGCACAACGTTATAGATACCTATATAAATAGAAGCTGTCATGGTACTGAAAAGTGCCAAGTATTTCTAGTTGATCGTGGATTAATATTGATTACTCGAAAAGCAATTTAGAATGGAATCGCATTATTAGTAAGAAAAGATTACCTCAATTTTAATTGAAGACAACATACTTGAAATAAAGCTCAAGCGTAAGCTTCGGTCAATGGCGACTCAATTCGAGAACAATAATTAATAGCAGTATTAAATTAAACTATCCAATCTATTTACATTAAACAGAGCTACACCGTAATACCAGAGTACGGAGCATTGCAAGGCAACACCGCAATAAACAGTGATCAATCCATCTTTGTACACGTATATCCCGTGATGTAGACAAAGCTCCATATTAGTCTTTTAACTTTTCTTTCTTAGCTCGTTTACGCTTCTTATTCTTGTTGCTCGGTGGTTCCCGCTTACGCTTTAATTGTGAATACGTAGCCAATGCTAGTTCACGAGCTACTTTATGTTCTACTATTGGTCGAGGATAGGTCTTTCCTAACGTTATATTTGCTATTTTTAACATTGTTGGAGGCGCTTCCCACGGTTTTTGAACATAAGAATTAGGTAATTTAGCAATTTCAGGTATCCATTTTCGTACATAGTATCCTTCAGCATCAAATTTTTCGCCTTGGATTACAGGGTTGAACATACGAAAATAAGGTGCTACATCAGGTCCACAACCAGCTATCCATTGCCAATTGCATACACTTTGAGCTAAGTCGGCATCCACCAATCTATTCCAAAACCATTCTTCTCCTTTCTGCCATGGGATTAACAAATGCATAATTAAAAATGAAGCCACAATCATCCTGACGCGATTAGGCATAAAACCAGCTTGCGAGAGTTGTCTCATGCCTGCGTCGACAATTGGATAACCGGTGCTACCATTTTGCCATGCATGCAATTTCTCCTCATCAATTTCTAGCTTTAACTGATGAAAATTGGATTTAAAACTTTTTTCAGGTAAATCTGGGTAATGAAATAGTAAATGACATGTGAATTCCCTCCATCCTAGTTCGGTAAGGTATCGCTTTGTACAATGCAATGGAACGGATATTGATCTCGTAGTTGAATGGCGCATAAAACAAGCTGTATGCCAAATGGTAAAAGGACTAATCTCACCGAAATGTAAGTAAGGTGATAGATTGGAGGTTGCATCTAACCAAATGCAATCTCTTTTTTCTGAATAAACCTTTAAAGAATTCTTCATAAAGCGTTTTAGTTTTTGAATTGCTCCCTCCTCGCCTGGATGCCAGAAATCTTGTAGCCTTGTACTCGTATCATTATCTGCTATTGAAGCCAATAATTGCCATACACCAGCATCGTCATACTTATATTCCACACAGCCTTGGTTATGAACAGTAAATTTTGGTTTATCGTAAGGCTTCCGAGGCTGTGGTAAAGACAAACACTGATTCCAGTAGCATGGAAACAGCTGAAATGGTTGTCCTTTACCGTTCTTGACCTTCCATGGTTCATACAGTACCCTATCTTGGTAGGTTTCAACTTTGATCTTTCTTGCCACAAATCTTTTTTCAATCGAGTAATCTCGATTATATTCAAATGGTTCATAACAACGATTCCAATAAATTGCATCAGCGTTATACCTATCGAGCAACTTTTTTAAAATAGTAAATGCATCTTTACCGCTTTTCACAATGAGAGGAATATTCCATTGGCTTAGTTGATTACGCAATGATTTCAAGCTATGATACAGCCACCATAAACAAGCTTGGCCTGTTCTCCTTTTGCCAGAGCAATCTTCATCGAAAATGTAAACAGTAATAAGTTGACCACGTTTTGCAGCATGAAATAATGCAGGATTATCAATTAATCTTAAATCTCGGCGTAACCACACCAGCGTGCAAGGTATCTTTGAAGATGACATGAGGAAGTAGGGTTTCTATTCTGCAACAGCCAATGATGCTGATTTGGTTTAATTTTGGTCAGTTCGATCATCTACATTGATATAAACCCAACCGAAATGATCGTTATTATCCTGCATCCGATCCAAGAGGAGAACTGTTATGCTAAGGATTTTGACAGAGTGAAAACGGATATACTACGTCTTTATTACCGGGGACTACTAATGCCATCACAAGCAGAGCTGCAGCATTCGTGTTCTAGTTAATAGCGATCAAGATCATCAGCTACAAACTATTGATTGCAATATTATATCTTACGCAGCACTAAACAAGATTGCGGCAAGTTCAGCTTACACTGTAAAAAGTTTTAGACACGTTGTAGGAGCTTTATGGCATTTGCTAAGGTAATTTCTGTAGTCTGTGCAGCAGCTACTAGCAGAAGAGCTCAAGCGCAGCTGATGAATTAATTACCACCGCAAACTTGTTCGAACAAGTAGCTCGATTCTTTTCGCCTTTACTATGATACTAGACTGTTTAGTGTAAGAGTGCGGTCCTAATACTGAGCATTGAGCAAGATACTGACAGCCTGGATTACAAACAACACCGTGGAGATACGGTATTGCTATGATACGGTCGTATCGGGCTTGCTTCCATCATTTGCAGCAGCTTCCCTCGACAGCTTGGAGCAAGCTTCTGCTAGAGTAGACCTGATCTATATGCTAAATCAATGCCTTTGATCGTCCTTAGCAGTTGTATGAAGATTTCAATGGGTTTCTCCTTTTGGATTGCTCAATCTACAATTTAAAATTAACAACGATATCATCAGCGGTAGCAGAGAGTACAACGATACAGTCATTGATCAAGATCATATCCAAGTTGTCGAATTCCAAACTTGCAAAGACCTAAAGCTACAAAGCAATTACTTTTTTCAAAATTGGAGAAAGAGTTGGACGTAATTTAGTTGAATTTGTTTATTCTAAATTGCTAATATAGCGAAGTATACGAGGGTGGAGGCTTGGACGAAGATTCTGCCCAAGTTGTCAAATTCCAAATCTGTAAAGGCCTAAAGCTGCAAAGCAATTACTGGCTCAAATTGGAGACCAACGTTAAGGGTTTGATTTGTTCTAAAAAATTGGACGTAATTTAGCTTATCCTGAATTCCTAATAAAATAAACATATTGCATGATATTTAGTAAAGGGATCAAGTCGATTATAAAGTATACTTCAACAAGGAGCTTCCTTTAGCATCTTCTTGTCTTATTAGGCCAAACGGTCTGCTAGGTATTTCTTGCTAGCTAGTGATGAAGTGTAAATTACACTAAATATCACATGCACCGTTTATCAAAGTGCATATGCTAAATGACTACTGAATGTGTTAACTGCTAAATTGGAAAAAATTGACAAGAAATGGTTTGTACAGTCGTCTGGCTTAGATACGACTTACGATTAATTGACAACCCAGCATTATTTCATGCTGCTAAACGAGGCCATGTTGTTATCATTTATATTTTGGATCAAGAAACGCCTGGCAAATGGAAATTGGGTAAAGCCAGTCTGTGGTGGCTACATCATAGCTTAAAATCGTTGCAGAATGATCTCCTCAAGTTCAATATACCCCTAATTTTAAGACGGGGTGCAGACCCACTTACAATTTTACGCCAGGTACTGCTACAAAGTAGGGCAGATGCTGTCTACTGGAACCGATGTTATGAACCCTATGCTGTGAAAAGAGATCAGTCCATTGAAGAAGCGTTAAAAGTTGATGATGTTACAGTCGGGTCATTCCAAGCTGGACTATTATATGAGCCATGGGCGGTTAAAAGTGCAAAAGATGAACCATTTAAATTGTATATAATGTACTGGAATCGCTGCTTATCGTCAGACCAACCTCGTAAACCGTACGATAAACCAAGATTCAATAACACATTAGATATCAAAGTTCAAACTGATACGCTCGATTCTTGGCATTTAGTTTCTGCTAAAAAGGATTGGAAAGATGAGTTAAAAATAGTAATCGGTTGCCCAGGTGAAGATGGAGCAATTCGTAAACTTAAAGAATTTATAAAGTATAAATTAGTTGATTATCGCAAAGGGAAGGAAACAGTTTGGCCGAGTAAAACCTCTCAGTTATCAACACATCTCCATTTTGGTGAGATCAGTCCATTTGTTGTATGGCATACAGCTAAAGAAAGTGTTCATTTGCGATCAGTACCTTCGGATAGTTCACAAAAATTTTTAACTGAGCTTGGATGGAGAGACTTTTGCTTCCATCTGTTGCATTACTATCCGGATTTTCCGGAAAAGAGTTATAAATTGAATTTTGATGAAACGATATGGAAAGTGGATAAGGAGAAATTAAAACTCTGGCAACAAGGTAAAACTGGCTATCCTATCGTAGATGCTGGAATGCGCGAGTTATTGAATACTGGTGTAATCAGTTATCGAGTCAGAACGATAGTAGCTTCATTCTTAACAAAGCATCTTTTGATTCCTTGGCAAAATGGGGCTGAATGGTTTTGGGATACACTTGTGGATGCTGATTTAGCTCTAAATTCTTGCAGCTGGCAACGCATAACGGGATGTGGAGCTGATATTTCTTCTTATTTTTACATCATTAATCCAGTAACGCAAGGTGAAAGATTCGATTCTGATGGGAATTATGTCAGAAAATGGATCCCTGAAATAGCCAAATTATCCAATGATTACATACAGCAACCATGGGAAGCTCCGGCAGCAGTACTGAAAAAAGCTGGAATAGCTTTGGGTAAAACATATCCGAAGTGTATTGTAAATCATAAGAAAGCACGGGATGTTGCCCTAACTAAGTTTGCTCCATTAAAGCGGCAAGAACCTATGGATAATTTAAAAAAATTGCCCAATAAGAAGAAAATGAAAAAGTAGCCTGTTAAGAAATTGTAATGAAGTTACTTCAGCATTATAGACCTTTCAGTCTGGATCACACCCAAGGCTACATCAGACTGTACTCAATTTATTGTTTAGCATTATTTCATAGTAACAGGTTAAGAAAATTTTCAAACGCAAGTTCCTATGGGGTCATGCGGAAGTTAAAACAATTATAAAATTTTCAGCACAATGTATAGAATCTGGCAATCTATATAATAATTTACTGTATTCTTCTTGTTGTATTACTAGTCAGTTAGCAAAAGTGGCTTGATTTATTCATAAATACATACATCTTACTATTAATAGAAAATGTACAACTAATTAATTCTTGTATGAAATATTTATTAAATTCAAGTTATATGAGTTAGAGTATGTCGCACAAAAATGCCATAGAGTCTTATAAATGTACGATTGGCATCTTTGTCGAAGAATCGATCACTTTTTTTTTATGCCATGGTAATAAAATCGTTCAACGTTGATATAATACTGCATCTAATTTAATTCCATTTCTTTGCAACGAAAGATATTTACTGTTAAGTTAGAATCATGTAGTACTGCGGATTGATAACAAGTAATCCTTCATCTTGCAAGTATTTCAAGATTTATGACGTGTCAAAGAAAGTTTTTGTATAAAGAGAGATTTGATTAAGATTCCGAGGTAGAATGTATAGTATTAAAAATTTTACGATTAATTTTCACTGATACGAGATTTAAGAGACATGTTTTACAAATGCATTTTCGACTGGAAACCGTTAACGTAGGTGTATATTTTATCTATTATATATGTGTAGTAGTACTAGTACATCGTTGACGCTATTTTTGTAACATAAAATCTTTTTTATATGCTGTACGTATTATGTAAGATGACACTGGCCATTTGAAAATCTGTCCGGTTAAAAAATTTAAGGATTGAAGGTTAATTTCAATGGCATCGGATACAATGCCATATTTGGATTCGAATGACATAACTTTCATGCAAATATTTTTATTCTGATAATTAATATTAACATTTTTCATTACATGGAATTCTACTAGAACGAAGGGCGTCGTATTAATGGTAAAATATAGTAGCAATATCCAAATAGTACTTTATATCAGTCACTCTCTAACAGGACAAGATACAACCAAAGTAAAACAGCTAGATGCACGATATTATGTTAATTATAGAGACGATCTGTTTTAAGTAAGATTTATTGGGCTAATCTTCTTGCGTTTAATAAGAGTATTAAAGATCTGACTTTCGAATCCCACTAATTAAACCAGAATTTGAATTTGTGTTATAAATCAGTAAAATTCTTACCAAAAGATTCAAATTGACCTTTTGATGTACAGTACATAGCGCAATTATTTATTGCTTTAAACTTTCTATATTCGCATATCGACTTCTGTTTGTGTCGTATGGATGATAGAGAAATTTTACTTAAATAGCTTTCAGAGTTGATGTGGTATAGAATTCAATAATTATGACGAAACTAACTGTATATTATGTCCCTTCAGAAAATTGAATAAGTAATTTAAATAGTTTTGACACTGTAGACACACTTTGTTAGTAGTGCAGAGTTTGATTTGATGGAGGATAGGCTAGTCCTATAGATGAATTGAGTAATACACGTATTTAAGCGTTTAGTTATAACTTAATTAGTAAATATGAGTGAAGTATTTGCATCCTAACCCAATAAATGAAATAGTGGCGATATTTAACTGTCCGATAAATTATCCTATGGATGAAACAAGCATTTACTGTGAGGGTAATAACTTGAATAATCCAACAGCATTACAAGTGAGCAACTCGATTACCTAATATAATCATAGTATGAGAGTAGACTGACGAAAGAGATAAAATTGTAGCCATACTTGACTTTGCCTAATAATCCATCCTATCAACATATTATAAGTCGAGTAAAATTGAAATGAAATTTACTGCTAATCATAAAGTAATTAGAATAAAATATGTAAACGCATGAAATAAATGAATTCAGACAAATATTACTTTATCCATCCCGGTCAGTGAATTAAATGAAGGTATCGTAGATTGATGAATCTTGTAAAAGGTGGAGCTGAAGTTTGCTTACAAAATGAATTAATTAAGTTGACAGTTACAATCACAAAAATCAAATAGGGTTAAAGGAATTGGGAGTGTTGTTTTCATTCTATAGAATGCACAGATTATGTAGACGCGCGACGACTGACTATGATAAAGTGGCGTTCCTAATCTCTTGAGGATTTTTAACTTTATCGATTGTCAAGGTCATTTAGAGAGTTTTTGTTACCCTTCGCGCACTTAATTCTGTCTTCTACTTGATTTAGTACAACTTATTTTTAATAATTATAATTATTATTTAACTTAAATATTAGAAGTCTCGATATACAAGATAGAAACTTACTTCATGCGAGCTATAAATATCGAATTTTTCTTACTAATAAGATAAGTATTTAGCCGACGATTACTAGTACGAATCAACATAAGGTAGCAGTTGATCCTTTTAAGGGAAAATATTATTAAATGATGATAGTAGTGTAGAATTTCGTACTGACTTAGTACTAGTAACTACTTAACATTAGACATATTTTAGAGTATCTTAGCAACTAAGATTGAATTTTTTCGGTTGTTAAAGCTAAGAAACAAATCATATCAATCGAAAAGAGCCTAACAATTTAACGTTAGTCTACTACTAAAAGCGATAATCGTTGAATGTTTAAGGGTAAGATCATTTCTTAACCAGCTTTAACAAATTGATAGAAAAATTATTCACGTAAAAGTTCTTGTGATCTTTCCTATTGTAGTATGTCTATGTTGTAATCAGTACTTGAGTAGTATCTATTACTGAAATGTGTGTTCTTATAATTATAATTTGACTTTCTCAATATTCGTAGCGTGATTTATTGGAAAATCATTAGTACAAGTGTTGATTCTACACCCTAAGATACGCAAAAAAGGCTAATTCTTCAACAAGTTGCAAAAGTTTAGATTCTTCGAATGACGATAACGAATCTACAGAGAAAAAAATACAACATAAATATTATTTAATCTTCAAAAATGGTTTATTTTTTCTAGAAATATGTTAATTTATCGTATATCTTCATTATTATATGGAGTATACTATAACTATTTGATTTGCTTTTTTAAAACAACCAACACGCTAAAACTAAAAATTCATCAATGTTCTAAATATTACATTTGATTTATGTGGCCTTTCTTCACGGACTCGGAGTTTTAGGTAGAGAAGCAATAAAATAATTCACTGCTAAAATTTTCCAAATCGTCAAGGATTACCCATCAAAGTCAATTTCATTATTTGTGTTGATTTATGGATTCTTTAGGATTACCTGATTCATTATCTGAAAGAGAAATTCAACCAATGATCGTAACAACTGTGTTCTAACTCATTTTAGAGGTAAGGTTTTCAAACACTTTTAATTATAATAAGACGAAGTTATTTCTAGCTAATTTATTATTAAACACCAGTAATATGTAGAAAACAGGTAGTTAGAATTCTCCATATAGTTAATTACTACTATGCTCTATGTTATATATCTGAATCTTAGTAGAAGGTGTAAATAATACGATATTTAAAGTAATAAAGATAAATAGCACCGGTTTGTATAGTTTTCATTCATAATTTCTATATAATTTTATGCGTAAGCTAGCCTGTAAAATTTCAATTCTCCGCAACATAAAATCCATTATTTTGTGCTCCATTTATTAGATAAGGACACAAATAACGTAAAACAACTAGATGTATGGTATTAACGCTAACCCTAACCCTAACCCTAACCTTGGCTACCTGATGAATTATCCTATAAATAGAACAAACGTTTGAGGGTAATAACTCGAATAAGACAGCTGCTACATTACAAGTGAATAACTCGATCACCTAATATAATCATAATACCAAGAGTAGTCTAGTGAAAGAGATGAAATTGTAGCCAAATTTGACTCTGCCCAGTAGACTATTCTATCAGCATAGTGCAAATTAAAAATCAAATTCGTGCAAGTATTAGTTTATCTATCCTGATTAACGAATTAAATGAAGATATCGTAGATTGAGAAAATGTACGCGTTTATCTTATCTAAAGTTAAGAGGAAGTCCATCTACGAAATAAATTAGTTGATTCGAAACTATAATCAAAATAATCAATTAGAACTGCTAATAGAACTACGAAATGTTACTATTATCTAATAAAAGGGACGGATTGTATAGATGCGCGGCAAGAACTACAATAAAATGGCGTCCTTAATTAATCCCCAGGGACTATCAACGTTCTGGATTGTCGAGTTAATTCGGACAGTTTTTTATAACCGTTCGCTCATCATTTCTTCTTTTTGAGTAGACTTACTACAAGCTATCATTATATATCAGCCATTTGTACCACTAGAAGCCTCAATATCTAGACTAAGGAATTATTTTATGCGATCTGTAATGATGGGATGTTCTTATTGGTAAGGTCTTTAATCCACTGAGAACAATTGATTCGATTCGATATAAGGTTAGACTGAATCCCTTCAAGAGAAAATAAATGGTGATAGTAGAATTTTACTAACTTAGCACCTGTAACTACTTCAAATTAAATACATTTTAAAGTTTATTAGCGAATAAGAGTGATTTATTGTGTACATAAAAAGTGAGAAAAACGAACTATATCGATTTAACAGCCAAACAGTTTTATGTTGATCTACCGATCTCATCTTAAAAGCAATAAGCATTGGATATTGAGGTGAAGATCGTTTTATTTTAGCTACTATTAACTAATCCGATTGAAAAACTATTTATTTAAAGATTGTCGTGATTTTTGTATTAAGTAAATCGATGTTGTTGAAGTTGGTATAGGATAGTACGTATAGCTAAAATACCGGTTTTAATAGCTTGGCTTTCTTAATGTCCGTAAGGCGATTTATTGGAGTATCGTTAATACAAGCAGTAATTTTACACGCTAAGATACACAAAGATGGCTGTTTCATCAACAAATGGCAAAACTTTGGATTCTTCAAGTGACGAGAACGAAGCTACAGAGAAAGAAATATCAAATAACAATTATTTAACTTTTCGGAATGGGCTATTTTTTCTAAAAATGTGTTAGTTCATCGCGTACTCTGATATATAATACTACAACTATCTGATTTACAGCTTTTACTATTACAGCTGACACAGTAAAACTAAAACCTATTCATGTTTTTAAAAATTAGATTTCATTTTTGTGGCCATCCTTCAAGGGATAGGAGTCTTAGGTAAAGAAGCAATAGAAATATTTTGCTGTTGAAATTTCCAAGTCGCAGAAAATTATTGTCGAAGTCAATTTCATAGTTGTTACGATCACTGGATACTAGGGAGGTTAAGGATTCTCTCAGGAAATACAAACACCCTTTTTATCATAGAAATAGGGACCTTTATTACTCCAAAGTACTAATATAGCTCCGATTGCCTATATAGTCACAATTCCTCATGGCATTCGCCAACAACTCATTTTATAGTCTATACACAATGTACCATAAGATAATATACTACATATAAAACTGTATTATATAATAATATTAGTTTAGATAGTATCACGTCACATAAGGTAACTGCCAGAACATAGCAGTACGATTAGAAGTACGTATCCATAACTTATGCTAATTTATAAATCTTTAGGATTACCGAATTCATTACATAGAAGTGGAATTCAACCAATGATCGTGACAACTGCATTCTCATTCATCTTAGAGGTAAGGCTTCTAACACTTTTGTTGACAAGACGACATTATTTCTAGCTAATTTACTATCAAAGACTGGTAATATCTAATGTCAGGTTGCTCAAATTCTCCAGATAATTAATCAGTTCTGCATTTTACAGAAATGCTTTACTTCGGTAAATTAGTAATAGAGTTTCAATATCGATTATTGTACATCTGGTGTTTGATTTATTACACAAATTATTTTATAAATTAAGATTGTTGAATCAAATAGTCAATTTCGAAAGTCTAAAAATATACAAATATATAGTACAATATAAGATAGCGTTATGCGATCTATTTCATTCATAGCCTTTAGTCTAAAACTTTCAATTCGATCTGATCATTGTTAACAAACATACTTGATGGCGATGGCGATGTGCTGTCACAAATCAGCTTTGCAGCAAGGTTTACGTAGAAACAAATCTTTACATTTCTAAAGCTGGTGAAAAACAAGCTTTGTGACAATGATTATGTAAAAGCAAATCTCTAAAATTTCGAAAGTTTTCGGGACATAATAATCCCTTAACTGCTCATAAGAACTTAGATGCTTTTGTTTCTAGATTACACAAATAGAGAACTGATTATTATTTAATGATCAGCTAAGCTTAAATACCTTTCGGTGGCGGCTAACATTGATGAATCATCTCACAAAAATATTTATCGATAAGGACATTTACTGACTGATTTTACCTAATAGGACTACAGTATGTCCATTCACAGAGTCATCTCAATGCACCTACATCGTAGCATTAATCATAATTACAGTTACAAGAGCTTGTACTGTATTTAATTACTTTATAGGAATTGTTTATAATTTACCGTAGCAAACTATCGATTCAGTAATTCTTACTGTAAGTAAATAACTGTAATCGCCATACATATATAAATGTTCGCTGAATTTAGTCATTTAATTCTTTACAGTAGTTCGTACCGTGGCATGAGCATTTGACTTTAAGCTTTAAAGCCTATTGATTTAAACTCATCTAGTTGATGAAATTTCTCTTCAATAAAATCCTTAATTTAAGTTTGAAGATTTCTGAAATCTCATTAGAATCTTGCAAATGAAATTGTATGGATTTTATACCTAATTTAAGTCAGCAGTACTAATATAAAAACTGACGAAGTTCCTGGTCATTTTAGACTAGAGATGCTGTGACATCACATTACATGAAGAGCCTTGCGAATTGCATCGCATGGGTTTTGTATTTAGTTTTATTCAATTGCGGAAAACCGATCTAGCTAAAACGTATTTCGTCCAACGAAATTCTCAATATTAGTTTAACGATACTCCGACAACTGACTCTAGAGTCTTAGGAATCGTATTAATTTCATGCTTATAATAAGACAAAGTTAATGTTTTAAGTAATTAATACATTACTTGTTATTGAATCCTACTAGCGTAGCATTATACTTGTTGTATAGTTTAAAGTATTTGATTTTACAGTTACTTTAAAACTCTCTGCTATTCTAATTTTACAGATATCTAAAAAACACAACGGATTCTTTTATGTAAAATCCCCTGTTCTTATAGTTTTATGGTATAGATTTAAGACTTAGAATTAGGCAAGATTATATTTGATACATTAATGTTAGTGCTCATAAGTGATAATCGTGTGCGGTTACTGTCCGTTTCGAAATTTATAGTCTAGTATTTCGAGCTAAAGACTGTTATAACGTGAGAATAAAATTCCATAAGTATAAGTTGTATATCTAAAACACAATGATATTCTTGCTTCAGAAATTATTGCCAAGATTTCAAAATGAATCGTATTCTTGAGTATCTATTTGTATCCTTATTTAGACTAAGCTGTAATAATGTTCTTTCCTGGATATCGTTACAACAGGTAATGGTCAGCTATACCTATTTAATAATCACTCAAAAAGCTATTGCTATCAAATATTTTCATAAAGAAAGCCAAAATGTAAGTCATCATACAATAAAAATTATTACTGATCTATAATTTCAGTACCAATAAAAATAATCTAGCTTGCAATCTGTTATCTTCATATTTTAAGTTACATTTAAGATTATATTTTAGAATTAAATTGCTTTAATCAGATACTTACGCGCTTACTTCAACCGTATAGCATAGTACTTATAAAGTTTATACATAGATAGCATAAATTCAATATTTCTGCTACTGAATTTAGTAAAGCGAGTGGCAATTACAATAACGGATATAATTTAATGGCTTGATATTCATTTTTAGATTCTAGATGATGAGTCAGAATCTGAAGAAATCGTACTGGATGATAAACAGAGAGAAAAAATCGATAAAAACAAAAATGTCAACTCCCATCTCCTTTCCGCCTTATTTCTACCTAAATATCTACGGATTACTTTTGACTTAATTATGTTTCTGGAATTGTAAGGAGAAAATAGGATATGACTTCGTAGTGTATAAAATTT